GAGTGTGTCCTGCTCCAGCAGCTGTCACAGCCTGAAGGCACAGGGTGGGCTCTACCTTTGGGAAGCAAAGTTCAACCTGGTCAGTTGTAGGTTTTCTGATCCCGAGGATCTTTGTGTGGCTTAGAAATCTAGGTTTAAAGTTTGTCCTCTTTAAAGGCATCTTTGCTTTCAGAAAAGACCCTCATGGGTTTTTTGCTTTTCCTGTCACGGATGCAATCGCTCCTGGATATTCGATGATAATAAAACACCCAATGGACTTCGGCACGATGAAGGACAAGATTGTGGCCAACGAGTACAAGTCGGTCACAGAATTCAAGGTAAGTCCGTGCTTTCTGGCACACCTTGTAGCTCCGTGAATGTCTGGCACACTTCTCGCTCACCTCGGTTCAGCGTAGCTGGACGTGTCCGTGGGCAGGGTCCTGGGGGTCCACAGACAGCAGGAAGGAAGTGGGTTGCCTGTAGGCCTTCCCTGCATTGGGTCGGAGGCTGAGCTGTGTGCCGTGGGCGGTCGGAGACCTTAGGTCATCGCGCTGGTCACACAGGGCTTGTCCCACAGGTGTGGGGAGTGTGTCTGGGTGGCCTGGCTCACAGTGGGCATTGGGAGCAGCACGGTCTCCTTGATTCCAGCTCTGTCCTGTGTGTTTGGTTTTATTATTTGGGATGCTTGTTTCTCCTGGACGCTCTGCTCTTGGCTCCTGGTGAGCTTGCACTTGCCCCTGGTGAGGCAGGAGGCACACAGGCCACACTGACTCTGCGCTGCATCTGGGGTGGCTCTGGAGAGCTGCAGAGTGGGCTGGCTTGGCGCTCACCACAGCAGTGCAGGAAAGGTGGTTGGAGGGGCTTCCTGGAAGAGACCAGCGAGGCCAGGGCCCAGAGTGAAGCACTGCCCCCCCCAGGTCCTCCCCAGGTCCCAGCCTGGGGTCTGCGAGTGGCTGGCTGAGGGCAGAGGGGCAGCACTCCGCCAGGCGTCCTCCAGAGCTGTTGGCCTGGAGGTGTGTTGGCTGCACTGCCTCACTTCCCTGGGGACACTGGTAGAGCGCTGGTGGGAGACCCAGGCATGTGCTCTGTCAAGGACACAGGTGGCGTGCTGCCAGCTAGCGGACGGCTCCAGTGCCCCTCACTGTGGGAGGCAGGTGCCCAGGGGTCTGTGGTGACAGGCACGCCAGCATCTCTGGGTGAGAGCTGCTCAGCGAGGCTCTCCTCACCTGGGGGACATCTTCCTAATAGTTTTAGGAAACTTGTAGATGGCATTCCAAGTTCCCTGCTTGGAGAGACCTTGGAGGCAGAGGAATCATGGTGCCCACTGTCACCTTGTCCCTTAGTTCTACCCAAAAGAACTTAACATTGCTGTCTTGGTCCATATCCCTGCTAGAGAGAGGTGGGCTGGAGGGGGAAGCAGGGGAACTGCCTGTGTCCCTCTCAGACACGCGCGTCGTGTCCAGGGAGGTCAGAGACAGTGGCCCGTGTCCCTCACAAACACGCCAGGGAGTCAGAAACAGTGCCTACTTTTCACGGGGAATCTTCAAAAAACACAGACCCATGAAAAACTGCGCATGGCTCTGAGTTGAAAATTGCCGTTCAGATCACAGGGTGGAGAGGACTAGACCCCACTCGTTCCCAGCCCTCCCCGGGCTCCTGTTCACGTGGCACCTCCAGCCTGAGGAGCCCTCTGACCTGCTGCTCTCTCCAGGCAGACTTTAAGCTGATGTGTGACAACGCGATGACCTATAACCGGCCTGACACCGTGTACTACAAGTTGGCCAAGAAGATCCTCCATGCCGGCTTTAAGATGATGAGCAAAGTAAGGGGCCTCCGACGGCGGCCCGAGGGCCAGACCACACTGTGGCTTCCGTGTGACAGAAGCACGGCGAGTGACACCCATTCATCCGCCTCGCCCGCCGCCCTGCCTGGCGGCCTCTGCTGGGCTCCCTCTCCTGCGCAGAGTAGCTGTGAGGGCTGGGGGTGGAGGTCCTGCGCTGGGCCGACTGCAGTGCTGCCGTGGGTGTGCCTGGCAGGGCACTGTCCCACAGGACGAGGGGCCTCCCAGGTCTGCCTGCAGTGTCCCCTGCCCGTGGGGGCTGCTTGTTGGCTCTGGTTGTTCCCCCATGGGCTCTGGGCTGCATCCCTTGGTGCTGAGCCCGTGCCCACTGGCACTGCTGTGCTGGGAACTAGCTGTGGGCCAGGTGAGGCGGTGGCCACCATCCCATCCCATCGTCATGGCCCTGTGGCTGTGAGGGAGAGGTAAAGTCCGCTGCTCTGTCCTTTCTGATTCTAGGAGCGGCTGTTAGCTTTGAAGCGCAGCATGTCGTTTATGCAGGACATGGATTTCTCTCAGCAGGCAGCTCTCTTGGGCAGTGAGGACGCGGCCGTTGAGGAGCCCGTTCCTGAGGCTGTGCCTGTACAAGTAGAAACTGCCAAGAAGTCCAAAAAGCCGAGTAGAGAAGCCATCAGGTGAGGCTCCGGGGCGGGCCCCAGAGAGGAGAGGCTGCAGGTGGCCAGGTGGAGACTGGCAGGAGCTTCTGCAAGGAGGCAGCTGCTCAAAGCCTGCGGGTCCTGCCAGGCACCGGGTGGACTCAGCACGGCCTTCCCTGCTGGCCTGCAGCGTGAGGAGGATGAGGGCCCCTGCATGGGTGGCCTTGGCCTCGTCTCAGAGCGGCCTGTGGACCAGGGTCCTCTGGGCACTTCCGTAGTGTGCTATGGTTGCCAAGCACACACTGTTATTCACCATCCTGCTGTCATAGCAATGCCCACCTCTGGTGGACCCGGGAGGCAGGAGGCCATGTTGAGGCTGGTGCCTTGTGCTGACCCAGGTGTGGCATGGGGCCCTCTGGCCAGGCTTGCAACACATGCACTGACTGGTCATTGAAGTGCCTTCCGTTCTGTTGGTGTGATATTTCTTGGCCACTCCTGGGGCAGCCCCTGGACAAGCACCTGCTGATGGCCTCTGCTGTGCCTGTCCCTGCGTACGGGAGGCTCGGTGCCCCGCTCTGGGTAGCCAGCACTCATGGAGAGTTTTGTCTTGCCACAAGACAGGCTCTCTGTGCTGCCTCTGTGGCTGCATAGATGCTGGACTGGAGGGAAGGGCAGCCTGGTGGTCAGGAAGCAGGTGGGCACTGCAGGCTGCAGCTGACTAGAGGTCTTCCAGGGGGCCCTCCTCTTTGTGCCCAGGCCTGGAGTTTCACAGTGCAATTGGTCTTAGGAGGCTGAGCATGGAGGCTGGCGCGGTGCAATCCCCTGCGGCAGCACCTGCTGAGGCCTCGCGGGAACCCTTGTGAGCTGTTTCCTCACCAGCACATCTGGCCCGTGACCTCGTGGCTCTGCTTTGAGCCACAGATGCAGAACACACCCACGTTGCACAGAGTGGGGACACCCAGCTGGCCAGGGTGCGTGTCTGTGCTGCGTACCTCCTCTAGTGGCCTGGGTCACGAGGTAGAGAGGACGGAGGGCGCGATTCCCAATGCAGACCCATGTGCTCCAGTGTCTTCTGTCGTCTCCCTGCAGGACACCAGCTGCCTTGTGGGTGCCTGGCCTTCTGCTCAGGGCTCAGACCTGCAGAAAGTCTCCGAACGTCCAGATCTCAGGCGGGGCCTCGCGCTGGTGCTGGCTTGTCACCTCAGGCGGGGCCTTGTCAGGTTGTGTCATAGGCCGTGCCTGAGTGTCAGCCCAGTGCTGTGGAGCCCTGCACTGTGGCTCTCGATGACATCCTTCCCGTGATGGGTTTCCAGGGTGCTGTCATGGCAGTGACTGAGAGGGACACCCTCACATAGGACCTGCCCCTGCTGCAAGCAGCTCTTAGCCATTCAGACCCCTGCCCTACACAGGGGGAGGCCCTGCATCTGCTTCAACTTCTGCAGGAGGCAGGCCTCTCAGCCACTCGGCCAGATGTCCTCTGCCCCGGGACCCTGGCTACGCTGCTCTGGGTCCGACCTGCTGACAGCCACACCTAGCTCTGCCCATGCGTGGTGCTCAGCCCCTGGTCTGTGGCTGCCGTGGTGCCTTGGATGAGAATGTGTCCCTCTCTCCTTGTGCTTGAGGGGAGTGTTCCTTTAGCTGGACTGGGAGCAGGTGCTCTGCACACGACACCCCCCCAATTCCCACAGGAGCCTTGTCTTTGGATAGAAGCATGAGAGGTGCCTGGGGCTTAAAGGGGCCCACGCCACAGGCTGCCAGCCTGTGCGTGGGGCATGCTGGGCGGAGAGTGTGACGCCCGGTGTCCCTGCCCTCCAGCTGCATGTTGGAGCCTGAGGGGAATGCCTGCAGCCTGACGGACAGCACAGCGGAGGAGCACGTGCTGGCTCTGGTGGAGCACGCGGCCGATGAAGCGCGGGACAGGATCAGCCGGTTCCTCCCTGGTGGCAAGGTAGTGCCCCGGCCCCTGGCCCAGGCATTCGTGTGTGTCACCAGCACGGCCCTCAGAGTCAGGAGGACACCACCACAGCCCTATAGTGCCTTGCGAGGGGACCGCTCCAGGCCGCAGCACTGCCCTTTATCTTGGGAGAGTCCAGGTCAGAGGGCACACCAGCTCCTTGGTCCTCCTGGCCTTATTTCCTCAGAAAGGCCCCAGTGTGGCCCGTTGGCAGGACCACCAGTAGCCAGGATGTACCCCTCACCACGTAGTGCCCGGCCCGTCTTCTCATTGCTTGGTGTGGGCCCTACCTACTAGCCTCCCCGCCGGCCAGGCCTCTTTGCAGGGAGTGTTTGAATGTCCCCGACAGGGTGCTCCTCACTTGCCCTGGTCTGCCTGTGCAGCGGCAGTAGCTCAGGCGCTGTTTGCTCTACTGCTCCTGCCCCTGTTCTGCCTGTGTGTGGCCCAGTGCGTCCGCATGGTTGAGCACGTGCTGCCTGGCTCCCAGTCTTGCCATCGCCTGGTCTGGGAGGACTCTCGAGAGTGCATGCTGATGGCACGCAAGGAAGCTTAAACACACCGGGTGTGGCCCGTGCCTGGGACCCCAGTGACAGAGAAGCTGAGGCAGGAGGATGGCAAGTTCAAGGCCAGCTGGGCAACTTGGAGAAACCCCAGCCACTTGGCAAGACCCTGTCTCAAACAAAAAACAGAAGGGCTGGGGTGTATCTCACATAGATGCCCCGGGGTTCAGTCCCAGTACCAAACAAACAGAAGTAGGAAGCTAAGTGATGGTATTGGGTGGTGGTCCAGGGACCTCAGGCTGCTCCGTCTGAGCCAAGATTGCTGTGTGACCAGGCTCAGTTCTGCTGGACAGGCGGGTCTGCACGCAGGTTGGGCACCAAGTGCTGGGCAAGGCCTCTGGCAGAGCTGGAAACGCATGGGCACAGGGCTCCTGATGGATCTGCATGGACCTGGGTTGGCCTCAACTCGGACATGCTCTCCACCAAAAGCTCTGCATCCGCCCCACACCAGAGGCCGCTTCACTCTCTAACCACATGGCAAAGCCTGGCTCCTGCTGCCCTCCATTGTGGGGTGCTATCCCAGGGCATGCTCAGATACTGCTTCCTTGCAGATGGGCTACCTGAAGAAGCTTGGAGACGGAAGCCTGCTTTACAGCGTGGTGAATGCAGCCGAGCCAGATGCTGATGGTGGGTGTCCCACTCAGGATCTGATTTTCAGTTGCCTGACCTTTGCCCTTTGCCCCCTGTGCAGGCTCAGTGATGCAAAGCCCATGTCACTGGGCCATATGTCCGTGCTGCTGGTGAAGGGTCAGCATCACAGCTGCCAGGCTTCCTACTCTGCATGCACCTAGGTGCCGCATGTGTGCAGGGAGACCAGTCAGCCTCATGGTGGGGACTTGGGCACCCACCTGCTAAGCTCCAACAGAGTAGCAGGGACGGTCACAGCAGGTGAGAGGGCTGGGCCCCCGCCTGGTGGGTGCTCTGGCCCCAGGAAGCATCCCCAGGCAGGAGGGGAGACTGCCCCAGGCCTGGTTCACTGGGATCCGGACGCACCTGCAGCACGTGGGGAGGGTGGTATGTGGCCACGCTGGCTTGGCTTCCCCACAGCCTGCCCAGGTGCCCACACACCTTGTGGCACTGCCTTGCCCAGCCATGTTAGCAGGTTGACTGGTGTTCTCCAATGTGTATGGGAAGTCACTTCAACCTCTAATGCTTAGCTGGGGTGACCGCAGTGTTCTCTAAGAGAACAGGTGAGGCCATTGGTACCTATGTCAGACAGTGCCAGGATAGGTGGCTGTCGTGAGTGGAGGGATCTACTCCGAGCCTGGCGTGGCGGGAGTGAGGTGGCTAGCAGACGTGCAGCTGGCAGCAAGCTGTGGTGGCTGCCGCTGCTTGGCTGTGGGCAGGGTGGGCGAGGCTTCCTCTGGGCTCTGGCCCTTTGTGAGCGCTGTGGGGAGCCTGGGTGGCCAGGCCAAGACGGGCCTTTTGATGCTGTTGCCCTGGGCATGGTGAGAAGCGGAGCGGAGAAACAGCCGCGAGAGCCCAGGTCAGCCCTCAAGCCCTCCTGCCTGGGCCTGCCGGCTGCCAGTTGCCTGCCCACACCTCCCATCTTCCTGCAGAAGAGGAGACGCACCCTGTGGACCTGAGCTCGCTCTCCAGCAAGCTGCTCCCAGGCTTCACGACGCTGGGCTTCAAAGACGAGAGAAGAAGCAAAGGTGTGCCGGCTGGCCGCGGCCCTGCCACGCCCCGTCCTCCCTGCCACCCTTCGGCCTCTTACGGGCTTGAGGTGCAGTCCTGTTTCAGAGCATGCGTTGAGCACTGGTCTGCACCCCCTGGTTGTAGGGTTTCTTCTGTTTTCTGTCCCTTTCTGGGGTCAGGATGTGTCCCTGTCCTCCTTCCCTTCCTGTGGTCAGTGTGCTATCTGCAGGGCCCATGGGGCTCAACTCCAGTCTGCCCTGGGAGAACTCTCCATTCCCATCTCGGCCCTCTCAGCCTCACACGTGTCCCTCAGCTGGTGGCACAGCCTGGGCTGGAGAGCATCGCCTTCTGGGTGCCTTCCCAGCCCCAGTGCCTCGTCCTACCTGCGGCTGAGCATACACCATGCCGAGCAGCACCTCCCTCCCGCACTCCTGCCCTTTACGCCTGTGTGGGGGACACTGTGGCGCCTGCCTCCAGTACACTTGTCAGTTGCAGGGACTTCAGTGTCCAGAGGCATTCTCTTGGCCACATGGCAGGAGGGCACTGGTGTCTGTGGGTGAGGTCCTGGTGGCGTTGAGCTGGCCCAGCAGGGATGGCTACCACCAGGAACAGAGGTGCCTGCGGCTTGGCTCTGATGTCCCACTGTCCCCTTTCTAGTCACGTTCCTGTCCAGTGCCAGCACTGCGCTGTCCATGCAGAACAACTCTGTGTTTGGTGACTTAAAGTCAGATGAGGCAGAGCTGCTGTACTCGGCCTACGGAGACGAGACGGGCGTGCAGTGCGCGCTGAGGTAGGCGTGGCCTGCCCAGGCTGGCCCTTGGAGTGGCCACGGGAGCGGGGCAGCAGTCTCCTCTGGCTCTCAGCAGTGCCCCAGCCTGCCGCAGGTCATCACCAGAGAGGACCTGTCACAACCGTGTGCAGGTGACCTGGGCGGCTACTGAGGAGCTGTGTGCTCAGGGCCTTGCTTCACCACCTCCCCTGTGGCCATCTGGCTTGCTGTGCTTTAAGCCCCACCCTGCAGGCACAGCCTCCTCCAGGCTGGTGGAGGTGGCCAGTCTGTGTGGGACGGTCATGTGTTTACCGTTCCCTGACTTGGTTTGCTCCTGGTGATCTTCACCCTCAAGGCCCCTTGGGTTGATCTGGAGGACTCTGGTGGGCAGCAGTCCTTGAGGGTAGACAGGGCCTTTAGCACACTGTCTCACACGGTCCCCTTTAGCCTGCAGGAGTTTGTGAAGGACGCTGGGAGCTACAGCAAGAGAATGGTAGATGACCTCCTGGACCAGATCACGGGAGGAGACCACTCGAGGGTGCTCTTCCAGCTGAAGCAGGTGGGTTGTGCGTGTGGTGTGGCCCAGGGAAGGAACTCGTCCACCCTGCTGTGTCCTTGGGTGACAGGGTGCTCTGGACCAGGAGTTGTCTCCTGAGGACACTGGCCATGCGGGCCCCCTTTTGGAGCTCCTGTCCTGCCCTGGACAGGGCCCTGAGCTCCTCTTGCAGCAGCCTGTGGGGCTCTTGCAGCCTGGGGTCTGGTGGTCCTCACCTGTCGAGGCGAGGCCCCTGGGTTGGCCTGGAGGCTGGCCTTTGCCTTGTCTCTGAACCGCTGTCCCTCCTGAGGGACGGATCCCAGCTCTGGGGTCCGCTTTGTGTTTTGTTCCCATGTGTTTTCTTCAGGCTCTGGGTCTCAGGCTGTAGCCCTGCAGCGTCCCCAGCTTCCTGCTGCCCCAGGCCAAGGGTGCACAGGCCTTTTAAAAAGGAGGCGGGGCTCCGGGACTGCTGCCCTCTGGCTGCAGGGCTACACCTGCATCAGGCTCCTGCTGGGGGTGTGCCACGCCCGGCCTGTGCCTCGAGGTGACAGTCCCTGCCTCTCTCTCACCTCCTGCTGGTGCCTCTTGCCTTTCCTGGGTCTCGGCATTACTTGGATGCCCTGGTGTCAGCTCAGCTGCTGCTAGTGCTCCCCCCCCACCGCCACGTGTTGTGGTCTTGTGTGAGTGTATGGTTGGTTTGGCTCTGACTAGTTTCTGTTGCTATGGCTTCCAGTTGCCATGGGCCTGGGTGTGAGGGCAGCAGCTGGGCAGCAGGGGGCTGGCGCAGACTCCCCAGGAGGCCTTTGCTGGGGGGGAGGGAGCTTCACCAAACTGCTCTTGGGCCTTGTGCAAACCCCTGGTTGCTGCAGGCCACGAGGTTTCCTGAGGTCACGTGGTCTTGCGAATCCAGCTGTTCTCCTTCCCATCTGTCTCCTGCCGCACCGGAAATGCCCACCACACTGCCATGGGGCTGCCCCTGGAAGAGGCCCATGGACCACTGTGCAGGCCTGTGGGTCCAGCCGTGTTGGCTGCATGCAAGGTGTGCACAGTCTGGGCGACCGTCTGCGCCACATGTGGCTGCTGGTCGGGATGTGGGTCGGCCTGGGTCAGCTGCACCCAGAACTCCAACAACAGACGGGGCATAGAGGCCTTCCACTTATGAACCTCATCTCCTGAGGGCTGGGGGTACCCAGGAACAGGTTAGGCAAGCACTCGACCACTGGCCACCTCAGTCCTTGTGGGTCATTTGTGTGGATCTCATGTTAAAAGGTTTTTTTTGTTTTTTGGTTTTTTTGGGGTGGTACTGGGGATTGAACCCAGGGCCTTATGCATGCAAAGCAAGCACTGTACCAACTGAGCTACATATACCCAGCCCCAATAAAAGTGTCTCCAATTTTTATTGGAGAGTGCCATGGCTGCGAGAAGTCCTGCAGTAGATGGTGTGGCATCTGTGCCTGTCAACCACAATTGGTGGCTTCTGTCATCTTCCTGGGGAGTGCTGGCTTTCCTCTTGGCAGAAGGCCAGCGCTTGTGGCTGGCTGGGAGCTTAGTCTGGGTGTGGAGTGGCACTGCTGGTCTACTCTGGCGGCCTGGGTGACATTGGGGTGCACCTGTGCCCTGGGCACAGAGGGCATCTGGGTGCTGGAGCTTCACCTGCCATGCAGGTCCCTCGGACTCCACCAGCCCTGCGCCCTGCCCGGCCACAGTCCTCCAGCTGAGGGTCCCTCTGGCAGGAGGCCAGCCCCTCTGCAGGTGGTGCTGCTACAGGTGGGTGCCACAGCAGGAGGGACAGGACTCCTGGGGTGGCTCTGGACTTCAGAGCAGTGGCTCTTCTGGGTGATTGGTGTGAGAACAGAGTGATGGGATGCCTGGCAGGCACTGCAGGGTGTGGGGAAGGCCTGGGACAGTCGCTAGTGAGGGGCAGGTGGGAAGAACAGGGTCAGCTCAGTGAGGGGCCAGTGGGAGGGAGAGGGTCGGCTCGGTGAGGGGCCAGTGGGAGGGACAGGGCCGGCTCGGTGAGAGGCTGGTGGGAGGGACAGGGCCGGCTCAGAGATGTCCTGGAAACAGACGTGGGGACAGACTCTGAATGACTGTTTTGAGGAACGTGTGCAAAGCTAGGATGCTTTCAAGGGAACACTCCTGTCGGAGCACAGGGCTGCAGGTGGTGGGAGACGCGTGGCCCATGGCCCTGCCCGCCCTGTGCACACACCCCCCTCGGCACCCAGCATCTGGCCTGCTTGTACTGCTGTCCCTGGCTTATTTTAAACATCCTTGGCTGCAGGCACAGCCTTGGGACCCTCTGCCCCTGCGTCCCCCACCTTTCAGGCACCCCCCACCCAGCACTGCTACAGAGTTCGGCTGGCAGAGGCGTGTGGGCCTGTGGTGGCTGCCTTTGCTGCCAGCCGAGGAGCCCTGTGGGACCTGGCCTCCCCTGGGATGTCGTGGAGTGGGCTGGGAGCTCCCAGGGCTGTGCAGCTCTTGCTTGTGGTGATGTAAAGAGGTTGCCCTGCATGAGAATGGCCTTGGAAGACCGGGTATCCACCTGTGTTCCTTTGCAGAGAAGAAGCGCGCCCCCGAGGCCTGCAGATGAAGTAAAGGTGGGTTTCTTGTGCACATGGAGCTGGACGAGGTTTGCATGGCAGCACTGGTTCTGGCCCTGGGGGCTGCAGGACAGTGCCTGCTGCGTCTCTGGGAACAGGTTCTTTCTGAGGGAGTGTGAGTTGTGGGGCTTCTCTCCTTCCCGGCCTGTGGTGCTGTCCTCAGGGTGGGCAGGAGCCATGGCACCTGAGTGGCCTGTCCTGTGGAATGGGGCCATGGGCCCTTGCTGCAGAGCCTGCCACTGGCTGGCAGGACAGCTCCTGCAGACTTGATCTCGGGCCATCTGCTGTGGGTTAGGCCTGGGGTCCCCTGGAGCTTGAAGAGGCCATAGGCCTGGGTGTGAGGGCAGCAGCTGGGCAGCAGGGGCTGACAGCACCCTAGGCTGGCGCAGACTCCCCAGGAGGCCCTTGCTGGGGGAGAAGGGAGCTTGGCTGTGGGATGGCCATGGGACCTTGGATGTGGTCCCACGTCCCAGCATGCCTGAGTCCTTGGAAGGTGACAAGTCACTGGCTTTGAGTGACAGCAGGCACTGGGCAGTCTGAGAGTTTGTCCCTGGACATGGACTTGTGTGTCCACCTATGTGCTGCAGCCCAGTGTCGCCCGACGGCAGCTTCAGAGCCAGGGCTGTCCCTTGGCGCCCTGGGAAGGGTGTGACTGTGCTGGGTACCTCAGGCTGCTCCTCTCCACAGGCTGGGGACCCGTTGGGGGACGGCGGCTCTGTCCTGGACTTCATGTCAGTGAAGTCATATTCCGAGGCTTCTCTGGACATGTCCATGCTCAGCTCTCTGGGTGAGTCATGCTGGGCACATCCCTTGGGCCTCTTGCGTGCCTGCCCATGTGGCATGATGGGACACAAGTGCTTGGCCCCAAATTCTGGGGCCTCCCGAGGAGGGGGCCCAGCCAGCCAGCAGCACAGCCCAGGCTGACTGATGGGCCTGGGATGTGGTCAGTGCAGAGGATGGGCCCCCACCGTGGAGTCTGTTGCAGCTCCAGGGGTCGAGTCAGCGGAGCGGACCAGAGGACCCTGCTGGTGTCCGCGGCAGCGCTGCTTGGCCGGAGCCCCACCCGTGGTGCTAGTGCAGGTCACGTGGGGAAGGAGGGGCTTTCCTCCAGAGCCCTGGACAGATCGTCTGCTCACAGGAGGGTGGCTTCCGTGTCGCTGGACCCAGTGGCTTGGCCTGGCTGGTGGCTGTTGAACGTGGGCTCTGCTATCCTGGGCACCACTTCAGATGCCACCTCTCCCCCTGCAGCAGGAGCTGTGGGTGCGCTGAGGCCATCCTGCCTCCTGGGACACTGTCCCTTCCCTCTCTCCTGCTGGAGCGTCCTGCTTTCCCTCAGAGTCCCCCGGGCATACGTGGCAGGGTCCGGGCGTTTACTCCACTGGGTGCCAGGGCACACAGCTCGGATGGGTGGCCCTTGTTCTGTGGCCATAGGTGGTTTGGAGGCCTTGGAGCCTTTCCAGGCATAGGGAGGCCCCAGCCTTGCTTGTGTAGGGCAGTGGAGGCCCCTGACTGGCCACACCCTTCCGAGGGTTTGACTGGCCCGGCCATGGGATGCAGGCCATCACACATGTGCGTGGGGTGCTGGTGTGCCCAGCAACGGCCCTGGGGACTTTTTCCCTGGCTGGGTGGTGTCCTCTCCAGCCCCCGTGTGGCCGCTGGCTTTCTGTGGCTCACGTGGGAGCCCAACCCAGATGTCCTTGCTGTGGCCCAGGCTCTTCACAGGGTTTGAGCACCCAGTAGGCTGGCCAACAGGGCTTGGCCTGAGGGGTCCTGGAGCTTCTGTCCATCCCCGTCCTGCAGCTAGGCGCCCTCCACTGTGAGCTCCCCAGCCCCCATAGCTGACCAGACCCTCTCCTGTGGGCCGGCTGTGGGCCCAGCTGAGCCCGGGGCTTGCCGCTCTCCCCCACAGGGAAGGTGAAGAAGGAGCTGGACCCCGATGATGGCCACTTGCACCTGGATGAGACCACGAAGCTGCTGCAGGACCTGCATGAGGCGCAGGCCGAGCGAGGGGGCTCCCGGCCGTCCTCCAACCTCAGCTCCCTGTCCAATGCCTCCGAGAGGGAGCCGCACCCCCCGGGTAGGTGGCCAGGCCACAGGCTGGGGCCCAGGCTGCCTCTGCCTCTGTGCCCAAGGACCTCAGTGGGTGCAGCTGAGCGGGTGCCAAGGTGCTATGGGGGCCCCTGGCTGTGCGCCCTAGTCCAGCTGTCCCTGTGGGTTCCTCTGCTGTCAGGCGCTACGCTCTTCTGGTGGACCCGGGGGCATTTCTGCTGGGCAGAGTGCAGCGCCATCTGGGCGGAGCACCCCTGCAGTGGCACGTGGGGTTGGCTCAGGCACATCCTGCTGTCCCCTGTGACTCACTCCTCCTGGGATGGGGGCAGAGCCCAGGCCCACCGTGCTGAGCCAGCATCCCCCGTGGACGGCCGCCCACCCAGCACTGCTCTCCTGGCTGCCAGGGAGTGCCGGGGCATTCTGGGAGCAGGATGCACGCCGGCTTGCCAGGGCCGTTGAAGAAAGTCCTCCTTGTGATCAGGCTGCGGCTGGGCTGCGCCCGGGAGCCAGTGGGCAGCGTGGGTTTCCGTGTCATGTGGACACAGTGCTCCCTCACACTTGCAGGGAGCCCTTCTCACCTCAGCGTTGGGGAGCAGCCGGACGTGACCCACGACCCTTACGAGTTTCTGCAGTCCCCAGAGCCCACCGCGTCCGTGAAGAACTAGCTCTCGGTGGTCCCAGGCCCTTTGCTCCAGTTTTGCCTGTGTCTGTGGTTTCTGCCATGAGACAGAGACTTTGACCTTGTCCCCTAGTGTGCAGGCAGTGGCCTGGGGTGGGGATGCTCGTCTGGGATGTCACGTCAGCGGCACAGAGGCCCAGCAGCACTGGCACAGCCCCGAGTCCCGAGCGCCACAGGAGCTGAGGTGTGGGGTAGAGCGCTGAGTTGAGGGGCCTGCCCCGCCGTGTGTCAGATGCCAGTTTGTGCCCACCAAGGCCCATCCCCTGTGCCCCTGAGGGCTACTCAGGGCTGGCTGGGCCAGGCAGCGGGACCTCCCATGTGATCGCCGGACCTGAGCCTCGCAGTCCCTGGAAGAGGGCGAGCTGTCCTCTGGGCAGGAAGGTCAGCCGGGAGACGTCTGGAGTTGAGCTTCTGCTGAGCCTGTCGCGTCTGCAGAGTACTGTACACAGCCTAATAAAGGACTTCTGGGATGCCGGGCGAGACGGTTTCTGCCCTGCTAGGCTGTGGGCGCTTCTGCTGGCCTACCCCCTTGGGGACTTCCGTCGGCTCCAGGGACTGGGCACAGAAGACGCCAGGCCCTGGGGAGTAGGGCCACGGCTGGAGAGGCCTGTGGGCAGCACACAGAGTTCAGAACATGCACGGCCCCACGGCCCCCTGAAAGCAGGGCCTGTGCCTTGGGACTGAGGGTGGGAGGGACCAGCATGTCCTCCCTGTGGGCAGACCCCAGCCCACGGCCACGAAGTGCAGCACAGCCTGCGGTCCTGGCCTCAGTAGTGCCACTTTCCCCCAGCTGTCCCTGTCCTGTGCCCCCAGCCCATCCCTGGGTTGGCATAGCAAAGGCAGGATGGCATCCACAGGCTCCGTGGGAGTCCTGCTCGCTCCCCTCAGCCCTCGGGCCAGACCTTGTACTGTACAGCAGTGTCCTGTGGGGTGCACGATGTGACCTCACAGGGCGGGGTCCCTCCCTGGGCATCCCTGCTGTGCAGCCCGGAGTCTTCCAGCTTGGCAGACGTGGCCCTGGTGGGCACCCCAGCTGGCATCTGGAGGCCCCTGGGCCGAGCTGGTGCTCTAGCTCCTCGCGCCCCGACCTGAGCCACAATGGAGTGGGGCGCGTGGCCCCCAGACAGCCCTGCACCCCGTCCACTCTCAACCCTTCTGCACGCAGCCCTCACCCTTTCTGCAGCAGAAACCCAGCGTAAACCTGCTGCTGACCATGTCAAAGGCCGTATCTGTGGCACTAGATGTGCTCACAGCCTGTGTGGCCCCCTCCTCCCTTGGGCCCATCTGTGTCCAGGAATGGTGAGCTGTCGGGGGTGTCAGGGATGCCCTGCCATGGCCTTGCCTGCACCCCGGGCACTGCCCAGCTCCAACTGGCTGGTGGGACCCTGCTGCAGTCAGAGGGCAGCCTGGGCAGCCCAGATAGCAGAATGGGGTTCCTGCCTGCCTCTGCCTCCTGCTTACATGGGCCCATGGCCAGCCCCTGGGCCCCAGAGGAGCTGCTGTGGAGGGTGCTACATGGCTGCTGGTGCTGCCCAGCCCCTTGCTGTGGCCCTGGGCCTTCCATGGCTACTGTTGAGGTGGCCACTGCTCATCAGGGTTAGGACAAGGAGCAGGACTTGCAGCGGCCACCACACCTGTGTATCTCTGAAAGAAACTGCGGACCAGGCGGGTAGGCCTGGAGGTGCTGCCCCCTCTCCCCACATAGCCTGGGTGTGGCCACCAGTCTTGCTCTTGGTTCTCCATGGGGGCTCTGCAGTGACCACTGGCTGCCAGTCACAAGAGCCCACAGCTGTACTCCTGGCCAAGGCCACACTGCTGGTCCATGGGGCAGGGCCTGCTGGGCAGGACCAGCCCTCACCCCTGCCTCAGTGCAGCGCCTCTGGACCACCAGCCACTCTGGGATCTGTGGTCCCCAAGGGACCCTGAGGATTTGTTGCAGATGGGTAAACTGAGGCAGTGCCCCATCTCCTAGTGTGTGGCTGAGCCTATCTGTGGTTGGCTGTTGCATCCCTCTGGGCGCCAACGCCCCCATCCATGGAGGGGAGGCAGCCCCCTCTCCTGGCTGTGCATTTACTGAAGGCCTCCATACCAGAGCCCGGGAGCCTGGAAAAGGCAGAGTTGCCCTTGGCTACGGGGCAGGGTGTGCCATTGTGTGTGTGGAGTGCCTGCAGCAGGTATGCAGGTGGGTATGCACGTGTGGAAGTGTGTGCCACAGGGAGTGTGGGGCACTGTGTGCAGGTACACGTGGGTGCATGTGGGCATGTGTGGGTGTGTGCAGGTACCTGTGGGCATAAGTGTGTCTGTCAGGTTTGTGGGTTGTGCTGTTGGGAGCATGTGGGTATATGCAGAGTGTGTGAAGTGTGCAGCTGTGCGGGTGTGTGTGGGTGCATGTGGGTGTGCCAGGTGTAGGAGTGCATGTGTGAGCAGGTGTGTGGGTATGTGCAAGTGTGTCAGGTCTACCTCATCGTACTCGAACAGGGAGAGCAGTCTGTTGTCGGTGACACTGGGTGACCTGGTGGCCACAGCTGGAAGTGCTTGCTTTCATTATGGGTGAAGGAATAGGTTGGCCCTGTGGCGCGTCCACCTTGCAGCCAGGCTGTGAACACAGCGAAGAAGACACCCTCCGAGCCATTCTTGGCTGCAAAGACCTGCTGTTGCCCCCTGGTCCAGCAGCACCTGTGGGAGCTGGGAGCTATCCATGTTCCTGGGCCATCCAGAGCAGAGGCCCCAGTTCTGGGGAGCCTGGGATCCCTGACCACCCACTTCTTACCACGCCTGCCTCCCCTCTGTCCTCCTTCCAAGCACACCTCCACCTGTCTGCCAGGGACTTTGAGTTGCTGATCTTGGTCACCGGCCTCCCGTATACCCTGACTTGGTCAGCTGCCTGTCGGATGGTGGACTCTGCCCAGTGTGGGCTCTGGGCAACAATCAGAGCCTTGGACTGGCAAGGTGGGCCTGGCTGCAGATGGCTTCCTTGGATGGCACCTGAGGGGTCACTGGGAAGGGAATGAAGGGAAGTCATCAGCCCTCCTGTCCAGCTCCAAAGGGACACAGCAACTGGTCCACACAGGGACCTTCAGATAGTTGTTGGACCCACAAATAGGAACTGAGAATTTCCTGAGTTTAAGGCCCAAGTCTGAGAGAAGGGCTCAAGGGAGGAGGAGAGGACACTGTGTCTGGCCCTTGGGAGAACACAGGCCTTCTCCAGCAAACCAGGCAGTGTCCACATGCTTAATCGGCCTCAGCCATCCAGACGCATGGCCACCACAGAGGGGCAGCCTGCCAGGCGGTCAAGGTGGCACATCTGCCTGGAATACTCTGCAGGCAGCGCGGGTATCTCAGCTTCTGGAGCAAACAGCCAACAAGATCAAACCTCGGCCAGCATGAGCTGTTGACCCTGGAGTCAGAGGCCCGCAAGCTGGTGGCTTGTCATTAGGGAGTGGGACAAGAGTTTCCCAGTCAGTGTGAGTGGCAGGCAAGCCCTGCCTCACGTCCCCTGTGAGGAGCCCCAACAGGACTGAGCCGGGTCTGCAGCCTGTAGCTTCCGCTGTTGCTGGGATGAGGCTTTGTGAGGCACCTGGGTTCTGTGGCTGCCACGAGGACCAGGGAGGCCCTCCACTTCTCAGTTCAAGGCGTGCCTTTGGTGCTCAGCCTGGTGTGACAGAGGCGGCGGTTGGAGGGGACTCTGCTGCAGTTGGGCTTCTCAGCCCCGGGCCTGGCAGCCACCCTCTGAACTCAGCTGTGTTCTGCAGGCAGCGTGGGCAGATCGCCGGTGGTGGTTGCCCCGGAGCTGGCGGGCTTTCTGTCTGGTGAGGCTCAGGAAAGGGGTCTCTGGGACAGGACGTGGCCTGCAAGCTTCCTGAGGGCGAGTGGGCACAGGGCTGCTGGGAGAAAGGAGGACTCACAGGTGGGGACGGGCCACTCAGGAGGGCAGGCAGTGGGTGGAAGCCAGGGGCCGTGCAGAGGGGACCAGGAGCACCAGGGCGGCTCACAGGGGTGACAGAATGGGAAGCAGGCGTGGCCCTGCTACACTGTTGTGATGGCAGTCTGGGACCATGGGCACCTGACACCAGCCCTGGAGCAGAATCCCGCCTCCAGGGAAGACCAGGAGGCCTGAACCACAGTGGCCATAGAGGGGCCCCACGCCCCAGCCCCAGCAGTGCTGGCTCCTGCCCCCAAGGTCGAGGTCCCCAGTGTCAGGAGGCGCTGCTGGGCGCCCCTCCTGGAGCCCCTCCAAGCCTGGTGGAATGAAGGAATGAGGGCCCAGCTCCCGCCAAAGGGCCTGCCTGGGAGGGGCTGTGGAGAGGAGGCAGAGGGCAGAGGAGGCTGGGACGGGGTGGCTTCGGCCACGTCAGGAAGCAGAGGAGGCGCCTGGAGCTGGGACAGATGTGCTTCTGTGTGCCGTGTATGTGATTGTGCTGTGTGTTGTGTTGCAGGTGGTGTGTGCTGTGTGTGC